ATGCTATTAACTCCACCACCAGGCACAATGATATCTTCGAATTTTCAAAAAAATGTTCCTTTTCGAAGATAAATGGTTTTCTTACATCTACTGCAGTGAAACACAAATCCGTCCAGGGCCTTCCTATTTTCCTGGATATTCATAGGGTGACCGCAAGCAGACACGCTTTAAGGGTAGCATATTTCGATCTTGTAGGTACTCAACACAGTAGCCTCCTTCAATTTAGGATAAAAATGACCGCATCCACGAAGGGTGAGACATAATTAGCGTACAACAATAATCGACCATACAAACAAATTAGATTAAATGTTAACACATGCACATTCTACATTTTCGTATTATATATTTAACGGGAAACGTATTCATATAAAATTTATTCACCTAAACAACGTAATAAAAAAGTTAACCTGGGGGTGACTGTCGTTCAGTTCTACCCGCAATAATATACTTGCTACTCATAAGTAACATGATCGAGCTGACACCAATTTTATAACAGAATACGGGAAGGTGATTATAAAAAATGTATTAAATTAAAAAAATACTTCAAAAGTATAAGTATGCACCCTCGTCGACTAGATAGCGCTTACTGATGTGTTGAAAAAAAGTTTCTATGTCCATTTCGATGTTCGAGGGAGAGAAGTGAAACCAGTAGCGATACTGAACCTCATCCAAGTGTTCCCACCTCCGGTCACCAATGAAGCGGGAAACTGCTTTCATTCTTCTCTTTATCCTACTCCAATAGTCTCCCACGTTGTTGGTGTGGACACCTGTCACTCGGTTTTCTTGCACCGACAGCCACGAGACGGAAATCCGTCTTTAGCACTCTAAGTCGGGCCGGAGTTACGACGCGCTAACGACTTCAACAGATCGGGCTTAGCGAACGTTCCCCGGAGTGAGTACGGATCGAGAAGGAAGTCGGGTAAGAGCGTTTGTAGTATAATGTGACCTGCAGTGGAGAGTGTACAGAGAGCAAAGCGCACGATACAACTCACCGGAAATTGTGTCAAGTTCGAGGTCATATGTGTTCTCGAAACGGACGGCAATAAAACAGAATAGGGTCTTTACATGAGTCAGGGGCATGATGTTGGAAAGTAAAAATAATGTTACTACAGGGGGTTGACATGGATTTAAGAAGTTCGTTATGCAAGCGGTGTTCTTCATTGTTCGAGATTCTACTCGCTATTCTTTCTCTTGTACAACATAAAATCAACCAGGACATTGCTGGTTACGCCTTGACATCCCAAAAGGAGTTTTATGGATCTGGGAATCAATATGAAATCTTTTTCTTTCAAGGCGGAAAAAGATACAGGGGAGAACGTGTGCGACCACCAATTTGAATATCACATTTGGGGGAATAGCAAGCTGCCTAAGCCGGAATAGTTCACAGTTAGTATCAGGATTGAACAAATTACAAATTACTTCGTCTACATGTCTACGATGTACAATAACATCGTCTAGATCCAATTTGCGGCATACTCTGTGTCCCGTGTAGTCTAGTACAATGCATCTGGAAGGTTCTAAATCATTATCACGATGATACACGACTTCCACAGACTCCAAGTGTAGAAAATTGGTTTGAAGTACTCGACTCTTGAACCGTTTTGCTGGACTGTGCTCCGAAATTGAATATACTGCGTTACCGTATTGCATCAGAAAGTTATCGACCCCTCTGTCCAGTTCACCGAATGTACTGGGATTCAAGGAAGCAATGGCACTCTTCAGCGTGCGCACAAAGTTTTCCGCTGAACCATTGGATTATGGATGTTGGGGTGGAGTGAGAACATGGCGACAGCTCACGGAGTTCAAACAATCGGAAACTTTCTCGGCAGTAAAATTACTTACATTATCAGTCATAATAGCGTGCATAACACCTTCTCTACTGAACATATTCCAGAGTGCACGAATGTTAAAGTCCGCACTGGATGATTGTAATGAGTATAGTAGAAGAAGTATGGTATGAATGGAATTCGGAATACAAGCCACGCAATAGAAATCACCGGATACGAATAAAGGATTAGCTGTTACGGACTGGATTACAGAAGCACTGGACCGCAATGGCACGAGCTTGCAATATCCCAGGTGAACGAGATGCGAGGAAAAGGCTACAGGAATAGTAGTACGTAGTTAGTTTATTGGAAGAAATGAAGGCGTTTAAATAAGGTGCACAAAAGAGGATTATTGGTTATCTAGGCTTCCACCAATTGGATTGCTTGCATAATCCTGCTTCTGTCCGCACTGTCTCGGATTGGCTGGCACGATCTACTAATGACGTGAAGGCAGAAGCCATGCGCGTATCATTGACGTCATCTTTCAAATTTGATCGATCGCCGGTGTCCAGAAACTGTAACGCGCCGCTTCAGGGTAGGCGTCACCACGTAGGCCTGGGTCATCGCAGTGATACAGTAAGTACACTTCCGGTCAACGGAAGTAGGAATCGACAATTACCAATGCGTAATACTTGTTGAAGAATGGCCCACATTAATTCACATGTATTCGTTGTCAGGGCTCGGAAGATACTGGCCACGGAGTCCATTTCGAAGGTTGTCATTAATATTGTGCATGAAGTCAGCACAGGATTTCGTAACACGATTCAGATCATGATTCAATTCGGGCCACCAGCATGTGAGACGAGCAAGAGATTTCATCTTTTCAATGCCAAGATGACCGGAATGTAAGTCATTGAGAACAGCAGTACATACTGTCGGAGGTACGATAATGCAATCATTGTAACACAAGCCACCATCACACGTCACTGGAATTTCCTCACGACGTTTATAGAATTCCGGAAATCGACGCTTGATTTCACCTAACCAAC